CACCAGTCTCCTTCTCAAAATGACAAACAAAACGGCGGGATGGCAAGCAATGAATGTATCACTGATGGGTAGAGTACTGGTGCTTAACACAACAATACTATCAACAGGTTGGTATGTAGCGTCCTTATGGAACCCACCAACAACCTTTTTTGCAACCCTAAAAAGAAAACTAGGAGCTTACCTTTGGACGGGAAATGTAGAAAAAGAGAAATACATCTCCAAAGTCGCGTGGAAATACATCACCAGACCCATAGCCCAAGGAGGACTAGGACTCCTGAATCTCGCAGCACAGCTCCAAGCTCTTCAACACAAATGGATAATAAAAATCCTTTTCAATAAGGAGCTCCCCTGGCATGATATGGCACTCCAACAGATACGTAACTTAGTACCATTCAGAGCTGATCCCTCCATAGAGGGGTACCATTGGATTCTCAAACCATCATGGACACCAAGAAGAATGGAAAGAGGAGGAACATCGAAAGACAAAGACCCACCGAGTGAGCATTGGAGCACCTTAATAAAACACTGGAGAAACTGTTTCCCGCAAAAGATAAGAACCCCAAGAATTAGGGAGGAAGTCCTGAGRCAACCACTCTTTGGGAATCCCCTGMTGACAGATCACAATGGAAGGGTATGGGCCTTGAACACGCAAGGCAGGCAGTGGAGAAAATGGATGAGTAAAGGAGTATGGAAAATAGAACACATATGGAACCGGGAAGAAAACAGATGGGCTAACGAACATGAACTTAGACCCAAACTCAAAGGGATTCATAAGCTAAAGGAACACCTGAATAAACTCACAGAAAGCATACAGCTCAAATGGGAGCTTCTACTGAAAAGCAAGACTAAATGGTCAATAGGGGATTGGGCCACAAAAAAAAAGACCGACCAACCGACCGTCGCCTACAAATTGATTCAGATCACAGATAAGGATGAAGGAAAAGTTGACTTCGCCACATATGAGCTGGAGGAGACACACAAACCGTGGGTGAAACCAGCCAAAATATTAGATGTAAGATCAATGCTTTATCTCAACACACTCAAAAGAGTACGCGCATGCACACCCAAAACTGGACCCAAACACAACCCTCTCCACCAATCAGAATCAACCAAAGTCAGGCTTTTCAGACCAGAGCTAGACATAAAGGACCTAGAGGTAGACCCGTCCAAATGGGGTTGGATGGTCCCTAGTGGCTCTGGGAGAGCCAAAAAGCTCATCCCAATTTATGAATACGAAGTCAAAACAAGTTACAAACTAGGCAACTGCACAAAAGACCCCCAACCAGTAATCTCAGAAAGATGGAAAAAGAACCTCAGTGAAAATTCAGGATGGGTTAATAAAATCCCATGGCGACAATACACAAGCATCAGACCAGCAAGAATCAGAAGTCTACAGTGGCTAATACTCTACTGGGTTTTACCAGTCAACCAATGGCTAGCCAAAAGAAGAAAACAGGGAGACTCTCAGCAACAAGGAGCTCTATGCAGGGTTTGCAATAACGCAACCGAGGAATCCCTCGTTCATTGTTTAATAACCTGCCAACAAGCTCAAGAGATATGGAATAGAATTAGAGTCCTCTGGAAAAAGCTAACGGAGCAGGACTTCCCCAACAGCCCGTTATTCCTACTAGCAGGCAGATTGGAAAGCGAAAAAGCAAAGGAAGAATCAACAAGCGTGACTGATCTATGGAGGAGAGCKRCACTTTGGACAATATGGAAGGCCAGATGCAAGGGTACCATAGAAGGACAACTACCAAGCATGGAAGAGAGATGGACAGAAACAAAACAAATAATTCAAACAGAAATAAGAGCCCGCTGGGCCAGAGAACAGAAGGACCAACAGAGGATAATACAACCAGATAAGAGAGAGTTGAGCAAGAAAAGATTCGAACAGAATTGGTTGTCGGGAGGCAAGATAGCAAAAATCGAAGGGAAGAGCCTACGATTCGTTAGCTGGGACTAGAGAGTTAGTCTACACATCACGAATCACCCTGTCCAACTTCCTTCCCGGAGTAACCCTGTCAACTCTCCCCCTGGACTAACATCCCCCGGCAGAAGCGAAAGGCAGAGAGAATCTGGTCGAATCTCATCAGAGAAGTCACTCTGAGGGTCATGTGGAAGGAGTGATGCTACAGATCAATGGAAGAATGGGCCAGCCCGCGGGAGAAGGAGGATACAGAAACCAGATCGTTGGCACAAAGGAGGGCCTTGGCAGGTGGCGGAAGACCAACCAAGACTGGACAGTATTCACTACCCGAAAAGGGATATCAGAATCAAGCAACGTTGGAGGGTTAAGTTACGGTCTGATCCTCAACAAAAGGGGGCGGTTCGACAGGAATCCAGGGAACGTGAACAAGGGAGAACTGAAGGGGCGAAAAGGAGACACGGAGGGAGAAGACAGGACACCGGCCCATGACAGACTCAGGAAGTGGAAGAGAAGGTACAATCCAGCAGCGAGAACTYTGKGCAGATTCAGGGACTGAGGAAGCAGAGAGGACACAGCAAGAAGGGATYGATTATGGAAGGATCACCAAACAACAGGGAGAAAAGTCAGCAAGTCTGACTAACCAGGGAGCAAAGTTTCCAGCAACGAGCAAATAGTACTGGTTCCAAACTCGAATTTGGGAAGTATGGGACAGAGGAACAGGGCAGGCACAAGAGAATAGGAGAGACTGGGCACACTAGCAGCCACGGAAAGGGATAGCAAGCACAGAGCCGGATGGACGACACCAAGGGACAAGGGCAAGGGGAAAGGGCAGACTCAAAGGGTTGCAGGAGTATGGGCATGGATGCACGGGCTGAGGAAACAGGGTTTAGGGTTTAAGGCATACTTTTTAAAAAAGGGGGGGGACAAATAAAACGGTAAAATAGAATAGCACGCCTCACGGGAGGGGTAGGCGAGAGGAGAAAAGTTAGGCCGACAGGGATAAAGGATGAGCTCTTTCTAGGAGACACAGCATTATCTGGCAGATCTGTCTTCCAGATCTGAGAGGAAAGAGAGGGATACGGCAAGCTGACAGTCAATCCTCCACCTAGGTGGAGCAATCAATGCTGTTCAGGGGTCCTTCGGCCGAAYGGAAGGAAGCGTGGTGACTTCATGTATTCTCTATTCTGACTTGCCGGTGGAATAGGAACCGGACTGTCGCTCCCCAGAATAGAAGGAGCCAGGACCTTAAGGCCCTGTTTAATTAAAAAAAAAAGAACCATCATCTGGATTCGAACTGAGGTCTGTATTTCAACAGTCCATGGGTGTACCCACTGAGCTACCGTCTTCATTCACCCAAATAGAACGCCCGGTCGTTATTTGTGCACTTTTCAGTCCAGGTACAGCTATAATAACCGGGCGTTCTATTCGCGTGAAGAAGGTAGGCTCTTGGGTGGAACCCATTATGAGATACGTGCTACCATCTTCACCCGAATAGAACGCCCGGGTATTATAGCTGTATCTGGACTGAAAAGTGCACCACCGGGCGTTCTATTCGATTGGGTGAAGACGGTAGTGCTACCGGGAACAGACTGGAAAGTGGACCCTCCCTGCAGCTGAAATCTGCGCTTTTTTTTTTTTTTTTTTTTTTTTGGGTTAAAAAACACACCCCCTGCGATGCTAGTGATGCTGGTCAGAGCAGACACCGCTAGCAACCGGGGGGGAGGCTCCATCTATTGGTGGGGACCACCACCTGCTGGAAAACGGGTCTAGCGTCCCTAGAGTGGAAAAAAGCAGAATGAAAAGTGGCTGTGAACCCTGCATTGATTACTCTGGTATCCAGAGGATTGACTGGATTGGCCCCGCTAAGGAATTTTTTTGGCAAAAGAGTAGCCGTTCTCGTGCCATGAGATCGGGGGACATCCGGTATGTACAGATGATGCACCTGGCCATCCTGGAAGTCCCGGTACATTCTGACTCAGACCGGGACTTGGGCGGCAATCGGAGTGCTCAAGCCTTAAAGGCAAAGCATTGGCTATCTCTGCTCGAGGTAAGATCACTTATTGGCTAAAACCAGTATTGTCCTGAAGTGAAGCCCAGTGAGGGCATACTCACACTAGGCCTTTTTTTTCCGCTTCTCTGTGGACGTTATTGCAGGCAGGTGCATCGACGGCGGTAATTTGAGTATGCCCCTGCCCTGATTGGCTATCTGTGATCTGTGCTCAAGTTTGACCAATTCATTGGCCGCTGGCGCTCAAGGTTCACGATATGTGACTATTGGCTATTTGTGCTATTGGCTAACGTGCTCAAGCGAAGCCAGCTATTTATTGGCTATACGTGCTCAAGTGAAACCAGCTATTGGCTATACGTGCTCAAGTTAAGCCAGCTGTTGTGGACTACCTGTGCTCAACTGAACACCAGTACTCGGCGGCAATCGGAGTGCACTTAAGCCTTAAGGACAAATCGTCAGCCATTTGTGCTCAAGTTAAGACCACTTGTTGGCTGATATTGTGCTCAAGCGAAGCCCAGTGAATGGCATAATTCGAGCCATTCCGTTGGCTGCCGCTCCCCAGAGTTCAAGACATGTGATTATTGGCTATACCTGCTCAAGTTAAGTCAAGTGATTGGCTATATGTGCTCAGGTGAAGCCACCAGTGCTCAAGTTAAGCCAGCCAATTTGCCCGCTGTATAATTGCTCAAGAGCCAACACCTGTGATTTTGGATCTCTGTGCTCAAGAGCTGACTATTGGCTATTGGCTATTGGCTATATGTGATCACTGATCAGATTAAGACCAGTACTTGGAGAAAAAAATAAAAAGATACGGTTTAAATACCCCCCCCCCCCCCCCCCCCCCAAAAAAAAAAAAAACAACCGTAAATGGCAGTTCATGCTGAAGGGTGAAGACTGACATTTACCTGTCGGAGATTGAATCACGACAAAAAGGCCATTGGCCATCTATGCTCAAGAGTTGCGAAGAATAGCAATTCATTATCCGCGTCCGGAAGTCAGGACCATTGCTTTTGGCTATTGGCTATTGGCTATTGGCTATTGGCTATCTGTGCTCAGGAGCTGAGAACAGTAGTTGGTCTGTCATCCGTGTTTTAAGGACTGCCAGCTGGTCAGTAAGGCAGTAGGGATCCCTATCCAACGACACAGCTAGTGATAGCAACCGACAACTGATATCTGAAGTCGAGCCATGGCATTGGGATCGGGATTGGGATCGGGGTTGGGATCGGGATTGGGATTGGGATCGGGATTGGGATCATACCTGGAAGCTCTGCTTTTGGATATGCAGGGTGCAAAACCTGCCTCTTTCAGTGTTCTAAAAATAGCACCTCGAAAACTGTGTTTGGCGCTCGCCGTCATCGGCGTCGCCATTCTCGGCGATGCGACTTTTGCAGCCGGTTTCCGGCTCCGCAATAGTTGGAATATGAAGTGTATCGAGGTAGCTGACGACGCCTCGCGTCCCGCTGACATTCCTGCACCCAGACTGGTAATGGTGGATTGTACGGACAGCAGAAATTCTAGCCAAAATGGTCGTCTTGCCAGTGGCGGTCAGACTTGGTTGATGCTGTCGGATGGCGCAGGGTTTCAGAATGAGGAGATTGGCCTCTGCATTCAGGTACACCAGCAAGGATGCGAGAGCGGCACGCCAGTTGTGCCTGCCGTATGCGATGAGGGTGGTGTAGTCGATGAAAGCGAGCGCTTCCGGATGTCGTTTCATAACTTTCAGTCCAATGATTCCAGCAGTCTAAATCCGATCGGCAAAGGCACGTGCTTCCAGCTTCTGGCCGAACACTGCTGGGCGGCATCGGGAGCTGACGTGTGCCTAGCCGTGACCGACGATGACACTCTTGAAGTACATGGGTGCAACACAAACAAACCGGATATGGAAGAGCTATGGGAAAAGCTCGATTGACGACCGTGGGCTCTCTCGGAGGTAAGTAGGGTGGTGTCGCCCACACACACCCAACCCCACTCCCTTGCCCTCTGCACTCTTTCCCACCCTTTCCTCACCGCGGTAAAAGAGGTTTCTCATGACCCACCAACACACTTCTTCTCCACCCTTTCCTCACACCAAGAACAGAAAGCATCTCAAGAGTCAAGACCCACCCCCAATCACTAGAGGAGAGGGAAAACAAGAAAAAAAATTACTATTTTTGTCGGGGTGTCGTAGTCACTTCCCCCTCCCCCCCCTTCTCTCCTCCCCCCTGCTGTTTCTCTTTCCCCCCTCATTGTTATTCAGTTAAAATGCCCTAGGTACCATCCACGCAATGTCGTGAGGGCACTGCATCCTCTCTCTCTCTCTCTCTCTCTCTCTCTCTCTCTCTCTCTCTCTGTGTGTGTGTGTGTGTGTGTGTGTGTGTGTGTGTGTGTGTGTGTGTGTGTGTGCTCTTGGGTGCTGGCTGATGGCACCTAACATGCCCGCTACAGAGAGGATGGACTGGGTCTGGGAGGACACAGCAGCGTTCAGTATTCAGTGATAGATGGAGCGAACATTTTTGGGATGCAAAGGTTTCACCTTTGGCACATTTTCCAGGGCATAGATGTCATACATGAAGGGTCCTCATCGAGTTAGAAGGAACCTGGCTAGTTTTCCGTCCAGGTTCATGCTTCCCAAGCACAGTGATGGCAATAATGGACCCTGGGCCTTAGTCTACAGGGTAGAGAGGCCACTTTGGTATTTGGGGTCACCATTACCTCGTGGACAGAATCATCTTTAGGGCCCTTAAGGCATACCAACGCTAGAACTTTTTGACTGAGTCTGGATGTAATTCCAGTCAGGTGCATCCAGGTCTGGCTGTAATTGCAGTCAGATACATTTAGGAAAGTGCTACCATCTTCCACCACCGAACACAACGCACCATGATCGTGAATGCATCATGCAAACTATCTTTCTGGTGCGGTACAACCATGATGAGGGTGTGTTGTGTTCGGGGGAAGATAGTAGTTTGGCCTTAGTCACTCATTTCCTGCCGAATTTCATTATTTCAGGTCGTGTACTTTTTTTTTTTTTTTTTGCACAATTTTTTTTTTTTTTTGCACTATGTAACTGGGATCTTCAAGTTTACAATGAAACCATTCATTTTTGTATTTCTTCTTTTAACTCCCCTTTCACCGTGCCTCTCACGTACAATGCTCTCCGCATCATCCCCGTGTGCCATAACCAGCCACTACTGTCTTAAACCACAGTACCTCCGCGCCTGTTTTTGCCGACCCTGGGGTCCATGTGTTTCTTTTCTGGTACTTTTCTGAAAAAGAAAAAGAAAAGAAAAGAGCACGGCCAGACTTTCAAAAAACGACGTACTGGCAACCACAAAAAATAAAAAGAAAAAAAAAGAACACCCGTCTGCACGTGATACAAGGTAGATATCTGCCCCAAAGCGCTTGTACATGAAAAATGTGCTTCCAATTGCCAGTATGCCCTCAGTGAGGGCTTTACGGCAGGGGTGCCAGGTCCACGAAAACAGAGAAGGAAAAAATATTTTGAAACTGAACTTGGGGCAGGAAAGCGGGTTCATACATTCTGCAAAGTTGCAGTGTGGGCATGCCCTCCTTCACAATGTGTCAGCAGGCCGTGGAGTCGTGGACTGCCCCGTGCCTCCCTGGCAGGGCATGGAAACAACAAAAAAAAAGAAACAAAACAACACCAGCAGCAACAACAACCTGAAACTGGCTACAATTGTAGTTAGATACTTTCTCGTGAGTATTGGTGTGAGCACAACTTCGTGCACGGCCTTCCTGGACTTAGTCTTTTGTTTTTCTTTTTGTTTTTCGAAGGGGCCCACAAGGCCCAACTGCCGAGCCTCCGCCTACCCCCAAAAAGTTCGGAAAAAGAGGGAAAACACCCACTTTTCCCATTCTTCCCAACACTGGTGGTACGTACGTTCTATTCAACTTGCCTCTGAAAAACGGGTCCCCAGAAATCGCTGATTTTTTTGCCGAATAGAACGTACGTACGTACATTGTATTCGAATACGACGTATTGTATTCGAATACGACGTACATATATCGTATTCAAAATTTTGGAAAATTCAAAAAAAAAAAAAAAACGAAAAAAACAAGTGCTGTACACAATCTACAGTATTGCAATACAAACAACTTTTGCCTGAGGGTCATGTCCAAATTCACAACGTCGTATGTTGTATTCGTATACAACGAACGCACATTTTTTTGATTTTTTTATGAGTTAAGACAGTAGTGCACTGTGAGGAGGAGGCAAAGTAAATGGGGACAAGATAAAGCATGGTTGCTAACCGGACGTCCGGATCGGGATCCAGAAAGTCCGGTCTGGATGTCCGGATCTGGTGTCTTGTTTGGGGGGTCTGGTTGGGCCCCATTTCTAGAAAGTTCAATTTTTTTTCTTGGGGTCCCCAGGCGATTTTCCAGTGCCTGGAGGACCCCGAAAATTGTTGGCGCAGTTTTTGGTGGACCATTAGGACAAACGGACCAGCCCCGAAGGGCACTGTACTTGCAATCCTGGGTGAGCTTCAGCGGGCCAAGGAGAACTGGTTGTGTGTGTGTGTGTGTGTGTGTGTGTGTGCGAGTGTGTGTTTTAGATTTTCCCCACAACAGCCGCAAATCCACCCAGATGGTGTGTTATAAAATATCACCACAACTTCACCTATTCCACCCAGATGAGTAGATCCAAAGTCATACCAACTTTTCCTGTATTGCAGACAATGAAGCATTCTCAAGATGAGTCAATCGACCAATGAAACAGTTTTGCTTGTGAAGTCAATATCTATTCAGAACCTTACCTTTAAACAAGCAAGCAATCTCACCTTTACACAAGCAATGCAACACACTTGAGATGAACCAACCCAACAGTAAGAACAATATGAGACACACACAATAAATTCCTTATATCGTTTTCTTGATTATGATGTGTGTGTGTGTGTGTTGCTTTAAAAGACCCCAGATTCTCGCTCTCATTCCCTTCACAAATCATCACAAGCCATCCATAACAAAAAAGTTTAGATAGGCAATATAATAGAAAATGCAAGGTTGGCCACGTTTGTGTGGTTCAGCGCCAAGTACTGTGTGTGTGTGCGACACTGTGTGTGTATGTGAGTGTGTTCAAGATCAGTCGAATAGTACAACTACAGCAGCGTGTGCCTGGTTTTTTTTTTTTTTTTTTTTTTTTTTTTAATCCGGACATCCTGACCTGTTTATTCATAACCGGACCGTTCAGGTCTGTATGTCCGGTTGTTCGGATCAGTGTCCGGATTACCGGACGTCCGGATTAATCCAGACACGGGTCCGGGCCCGGTGTCCGGTGTCTGGATGTCCCGGTCCGGGGCAACATGGGATAAACACAGGGAAGACAGATGGAGACACTAGGGACAAAGAACGGCAAAGGGAAAGTAAGGGAAAGGTACAGACGGTGGAATGACAATGAAGGCAAAGGAGAGGATAAGAAAAGGTTCAAGAATGAGTCCGTCCTAGACGACAGAATATACGAAGAGAGAGTAAGAAAAGGTTCAAGAATGAGTCCGTCCTTGACGACAGAATATACGAGAATCCTCGTAACATACAACTCAAAATCACAGCATATTTCAAAGATGGGATACGGGTAGATGACCGGGGAGGGAAGCAGCGTGGAACGATGGACATTCATACCTCCAGGGAAGATGATCTAGAAACATGGACGGCGAAACACGGACTTCCGCCAATCTCCGTCTGTCGACGACAACTGCCCTATGCTTTGGACGTGACGGTGGCCATTGCCCACCACCATGTATTCTGATCAGGTGGATGACCTGCCCTGGAAGAAATAGCTCCACTGGCCACACACTCTCAACGTTCTCACAGGCCTGCGACCCTTGCGCACTTGCCGTGGCCGTCACTACCACCCCATTCCAGTAGCTCCATGCTTCTCCTCCTCTCCGTCTCCCGTCGTTGTCCTCCCTGCATTCTTGGCCGCTAGTTCCAGCAACCTCTTTGTTATTGTCTCCCCACGCTGAGCCTTCTGGAAACGGCCTGATCGCATCTGCGCCAACCTCCCCTTCTTCTTCTGAATACTCTTGACAACTGCCGACCCCATTCCCGGCATCTGCATGGGGATTGTCCGCTGCCCGTGCTGCGTCGTATCCACTTCGCAACTCGTTCCAATCTGATCGATCCGAGGGAGGAGCAGACAGATCCTCCGTCAACTGCAAAGGCGCATGTGGCAGTGCGCTAACCGTTACCAACTGGCTGCTTGCTTCCTTCAGCGAAGTTTTCCTAGAGGCTGTAGACAATGATGTCCCTTGGAAAGAGAGTCCAACGACTGCTGCTGGCTCGCCGACAGATGGTGTACAGGTAGTAGTCCCATCTCCGTCACTGTCTTCGTCTTCTCTGACGAGCCCTTCCATTTCCTGAGTGTTATGAGCGTCCTCCATCGACCAAATATTGTTCCCTGCAAGCAAGTCCGCAACACCTGTGTCGTCACAAGTGAAATAATCTGTGTCCCCTGCATCGTCATCAACTCGACGCTCTATGATCAGCGAGCATACTGAATCACAATAACAATCATCAAGAGAGCCGTGCCTACTGTCGACACAACCTTCACGACGCGCAGGACCAGTACTAGCATCACCTACACAACGAGCACAACCAGTGAGGGCGTCGATGCAACCCTCGTCAAAATTGCACTCGTCAAAAAGTGGATTCCTTCTTATCTGGTCATCGCCATCACTACCACTACCACAACCCTGGCAGCTACTTAGTGACAAACATCTGCCGACGTCACCCGAGTCGCCTTCGACATCAGGTTGCCCACTCCCTTTCTGTGCGCCAAGAGCAGCGACCTTCGTGCACTCGACTCCTAGTTGGCACAGAGAGGGAAGTGGGGGCACCATACTGGTAACCACTCTCCCTGACTGTGGGAAATTTGAGTCAGGAACAAGACGCTCCTCACAGCAGCTAATGGCATTGAACTGCAGGAAGACCTGGCAAGTGTTGGTAGAATCACCAGTGAGAGTAGAAGAGGAGCCAGATGTAACGGTCTGACGACTACCCTGTTTATTGTTTTCATCATCATGATCATCATCATTATCGTCATCAGCACCACAGTTCACATTTGGAGACCTAGGCACATTATTATTATCATCATTATCATTATTAGTAGTAGTATTAGTAGTATTACTGTTCTTGTTATTATTATAATAATAATAATAATTAGAGTCCGTTTCGACAGTTTGTCGAACTGGCAAATTATCATCCTGTTGGTGGCGTAAGGCCGCCCTTGCTTCTGTTGGGACCTTAACACACGGTCGTGTTCCAGCATGAAAAGACATGCGGCAAAGACAATGACATATTTGAACAAAAAGAAAAGTCACACCTTTCACTTGATATATGCGCCGTCGACGTCGGTGCCTTCCCACGAAACTGCTGACCTCCATCGGCAACGCCTCACTCTCCCCATGCGCAGCCATATGCAGATTCAGTGCGTTCGCCGCCGCTGAAGTGGGGACCTCAACTGATTCCCCTTCTTCGTAAACTACGCGCTTTATCTTTTTGCTCACCTTGGCGGGACCGCCCATCAAATACGCAGGGATAGAGACAAGGGCAGAGGACGAGGATGGGTCCGGGGCCACCGCCCGCAGGGCAGCCGTCCGCAGTCGCATTATCGATGCAAGAGAGAGGCGGCAAGAGAACTCGTCGTTGTATACTATGCTGGAAGATAGTTGCCCAAACAGGAAACCACAGAGAGAAAAGTCCATTGTCAATTAAAGTTTATTAAACTCAATTTACACAACTTGACATCTTTACATGCTTGTCATTTTGGTTCCACCCTTCACACTTACCTCAAAAAGCTTTTGATTGAGTAATGCGACTGCAGATATGTAGCCCAAGGTCTGTTGATGTAAGAGGACGACGACAGATCTTGGGCTAGACCACATGCATGCAGGGCAGCCATCTGCAGTCACATTATTGAGGCTAGAGAGAGGCAGCACCAGAACCCATCACTGTAAAATATGCTTGAGGACGGTTGCAAGTACGGAAAACCACAGAGAAAAAAAGTGGATTGTGAGTTTGCTTAAACATATTTGCGGTGAGGCTATAGCTGCAGTGAGGCGCATCTGCGAACGGAGAAAGTCCCCTAATGTGAGGTTCCTTTTTTTTTATAATTATTATAATAATTGGACCATTTCTCGATGATTTTATGTGCGTCATCCTCCTAGCGCAGGGGCCATGCTAATCTTCTTTCTCTGTATCCTTCCAATTCTAATGTGAATAATAATGAACGCTCATGCTGAGGAGAAGTTTGTCTCACGAAAACCACACACTCCCTCCAGGAAAAAGCTAACAACATTAGGACTTGATGAGAGGTAGGCAGCAGAATAAGATGCTGCACAGCTTAAACCACCAGTACTTGGCCCAGCTATAGGCCGTGGAGGAAAAAAAAAAAAAAGAGTAGAAACATTTCTAGTCGGCTGAATTTCGGCACTCCTGTCGTGGCCCGAACATTTCCGAAAATTGTGGCTTGTTAACGGGCACGACTTTAGGAAGTACTGGTGGTTTAATTGCCACATACATTACTCACAGAAAAAAACACAAAGCGATCGGGAACAATTCAATGAGTCCGATCAACCTACCTTGTGGCTGAATGGAGCACACATGCTACTGTTGTTATACAGATCACGAGTTTAAAGACTGATGGACATCTCAGGAGATCTCCCTTCAACAAACAAAACAAAAAGGAAAAGAACCGCCGCATCACGCACTACGTACAATAGACCAATGTCTATGCAGGTCCTTCGAGATATCCGTTAAAATTGGAACGACACACAGAATGAAGATCCTTGCGCGCATAAAATTATTGAGAAAAAGGTTCATCCCGAGGACAAACACTCAGCCAGTAAGTGTGTAACAAAGGCTTGAAGGAGATGAGCGAACTACCGACTGGCCTAGCTCAGTTGGTACTCGGCCGTACGCCCCTGAACGAACTGTTGAAATACAGACCAGGTGCTGAGTTCAAACTCCACCGGAAGCGGATGAGTGAAATACAAATAGTACAATTCTGAGTTTCCTAGGGGCGGTCAACTCGATGATGATATTTCAAGGCTGTCGCCTTTTTTTTAAAAAAAGGAGGGGAGATTTTTTAAATGCCCCTCCGACAACCATTTATTTGCGGTATTATGCCCCTCCGACGGCCGACTTACCCTGTTGTGCCCCTGGCGCCTCTGAAGTTTCCTGCAGGCCCCTGTCAGTGAGGGTTGCAACTTTCCTGCACGCCCTTGTGGCCGTTGGTGGCACTCGCAGCCGTTTCCCCGGGCCTGGGAGGGGAGCTACCGGGGGCATACTGGAAATTTGGAACTGGTACCGGTAGGGGCATATTGAACATATTTCAGGCCTAAACGACACCCGGCGGGGCGTTTCGGAAACTTCAGTCGTTGTCAGAGGGGCGCGACAAGGCAAGTCGGCCGTCAGAGGGGCATATACTGCCACCGCACAAGAAATGGAAGTCCTCCGACAACCATTTATTTGCGGTATTATGCCCCTCCGACGGCCGACTTACCCTATCGTGCCCCTGGCGCCTCGGAAGTTTCCTGCAGGCCCCTGTCAGTGAGGGTTGCAACTTTCCTGCACGCCCTTGTGGCCGTTCGTGGCACTCGCAGCCGGTTCCCCGGCCCGGAGGGAAGCTACCGGGGGCATACTGGAAATTTGGAACTGGTACCGGTAGGGGCATTTTGAACATATTTCAGGCCTAAACGATACCCGGGGGGGGGGGGCATTCGGAAACTTCAGTCGTTGTCAGAGGGGCGCGACAAGGCAAGTCGGCCGTCAGAGGGCCATATACTGCAACCGCAAAGAAATGGAAGTCCTCGGAGGGGCATTTCAAAAAATTTCCCAAAAACAAAACGAAGAGGGAAAAGGAAAGAAAAAACGGAAAAAAAAAGACCGCAGTGCAGACGGTCTGGGTCTGGATGTCCAGGTCTGGTGTCCGGTCCAGAGTTTCTGGATCCCCCCCCCCCCCCCCCCGAAAAAAAAAAGAAATCGGACTTTGAGAAAGATTAAAAAAAACTGGAAAAAAGATATGTTGTGCAGCATTGCAATACAAAAATATTTTGGCTGAGGACCATCTCGAAACTCGTAGCCAAATCGAAGGGGGGGGAAATAAAACCGTTTTTTTTTTCTTTTTTTTAATATCAAATAAGTTTTTTTTTCTTCAATCGCGACGGTCTGGAGCAGTCCAGACACTGGTCCGGCCGGACGTTGGCATTGGTCCAGTGTCCGGGTCCGGCATAACCATTGCCCTGAAGGCTTTTTGCAAAGACGCCTCCTAGATTGGCCGTCATACTGTTACAACTTACGCAAGTATAAAGGAACCCTTGAAGCACCAGTACATCATGGCCCCAGCCAAGTCGAGAATCCAATTGAGACTCTCCTAAAATTTTGGAGGCTCGGAACAGGGCGTCCCCCAAAGGGCCCGTAGCAAAAGAAATTGCCCCAAGCCGTGGGGTGGCGCTAGGCCCAGGAAAGCAAACAGATAAAACCATACCTGCGGCGCAATTGTGCGGTGCGCCGGTCAACAGTGCGCAATTGCATGGGTCCTGGGACCATCTCACGCAGATGTGTATATGTCATGCATCATCTTCACACGCAGTGATCAATAGTCTCAACCATAGACAAAGGTAGAGAAGAAGAGGACCGAGTTTCACAGCTTATATTATCAAAAATATGATTACAAAGTGTTTCAAAGCTCCCCTGAGTCCAGCGCTCATCAGCGCAATACCAATCTCTGCTCAACTCATCAATATGCCTTCCAAAGCATCAGCGCTTCCCCTGCAGATTGTCTCCCAGTCATCAATATGGTCACAACTCRTCAGCGCCACCTCTGCAGTTCACCACCAACTCAGGTAAGTATCTCCCATAGCCAAACCTTGAATGAACACTCCCTATCTCAGTCCCTTCCTCTTTCGATGCATACACATTCTCTACTCATGAGGATCTACTCTGTATACTACTCMTAGCTAYCTACTAACCCTCTACTACTAATGCTRACTCGCTGGGCAGCTATGGCTGCRTCCCTTCCAGCGCACAGTCTTCTTCCTCCATTCAGCGCAGCTTCTACCTCCAGCGCTGCTCCTCCTGACTCAACGCACAAGTGCACTAGCACTTCCACGAAATGATAGCCAGTGGAGATCTGGCGAGGAATGAGGCAGGCAGCTCTTTTTATAGTGCTGGCCACTCCTCGCTGGGTCTGCATTGGCTCAATTCAGCCTCTCCCTTTGTCCCAGACCCTGCATTGCATGTGTCCCAGTACAGTCCCAATGAGGTTCAACTGCTGCTGAGGCACTTCGGCCTGGATTTGGACTTGAAAGTCTGGATCTGGACTGACCCCTTGACTTAGACCAGAACTGGGACTGTGCCTACTGACTTCACTTTCGGACAGGCACAACTCTAAACGAGCAGACACATTTACTACTTTAACAGGCACTTTCCATTGCACGAACAGGTACACTGCCTGCACGTACAGACACACCCTTACCCGAACAGACATGACATACACATCTCCTGGTGAACAGGTAAGTCCTTTGACAATGCCCTTTGCCTTAGATTTAGATGTGCCTGTTGATAGAGAACTTGACCTTTGACCTGTTTTCA